AATTTATCCATCCATCATGAAAAATAAATTGCTTCTAGTTTAATTTTCTCCACTACAGATCCAAAATCAATGAAAATCAATCACATTCATCATGATTATCATATTCTTTATCATGGGTAGATCGATTTAGTAAAAATCTGGGACTATTTAACATTCTTCTTTATTTAATGTAAGAATTTTAGCAAGTTTGAAATCATTTGGATTGCTTGTTTGCCTTATTAGCCTACAAGCCTATCAACAGTAAGTCTACACAAAAATATTTTGTGACAATATTACAAAAATATAATTGGTGTATTCTTTCTTTAAAGTAAGGATAAACTAAAAATGTTTTTAACACAAAAAACAAATTCTAAACCATTTTTAACATAGTAGACTCACTTACACTAATTTTTTTGTTCATGCACTTCCATTTGTAATTTTTGAAAATAAATGTACATTTGTATTATATTCAAATTTTATCCTTGTATGATCTTTAAGAGGTTGTGTATATTAAATTCTATAATATTAAACCATATTTAATGAAAGTGCACAAAATAGACAATTAGATTAATATAGAGCATTAATTATTATTTTAAAATTAAGATGTAATGACAATTTGATTTTGAAAATAGCCATAAAAAATCAATGCACTAGAAGACGTGATTTGTATTTTATACAATTGATTGTTGTAATATTAATGCACTTAAGAAAATATATAATACTTTGATTATTATTTTAACTTTATATATTAACTTTATAACAATATTTTACGAAAAAACCATATATATATATATATATATATATATATATATACGTAAAGATAGATAATTTTATAATTCTATAATTATTATAAATATTTTAAGGATCTTTTGCTTAATAATATCTAATAATAAATAAATCTTATTAAAATAAATAAAATTTAAAAATATGTAAAGTAATCATACTTTGATCTTTATGATATTTTAAATAAAATTTGAATTAAATCATATTATTTAAATATATATAAAAATATGCTTAAATATAATGCAAAAAAATTAATATGTACATATATATATATATATATATATATATACATACATACATATATATATATATATGAAATTTAAAATGTAGACACTAATTTTAATTACTAATAGAAACTTTTTGTGTATATATTTTACTGATTTTATCAAATATTAAGATTATATATTTTTATCCTATATATACATAAATTTTATTTTTCAAAATTATAAAAAAATAACTTTAATTAAATAATAATTATTTTTTAATATAAATAAGTTATAATAGCGAGAGCAAAAACTATAGTGGTAGTAGCAAAAGCTATAGTGACATGTGATGGATGGCAAATTGTGGTGACAATATCAAAAATTGTCATTGTATATATATATATATATATGTATATAACCATCAAAAAAATATTAATAAATTATTTTATAATAATTATATAATATCAAATATATATATATATATTTCATTTTATGATTGAAAGTATATATCCATATACATTCAAAATGAGAATGTGAATAGTTAAAATACTTTAACAATTTATAAAAAAATAAAAATAAAAAACTATTTTTCTTTCTTTACAAGATTATTGTTAATAGTTTAGAGGATTATTTTAAAATTTATAAGAATATTTGAGAATTTTGATGAATTTTTTATGAATTTTCATAATATAAAAACATATAATCTGAAAATTCTTGAATTATTATTATGAAAATTTATTAAACCTTCTATAAAATGAATTTTAATCTATATAAATAATGATCATTTCTTAAATTTTCCTTCAAAGTCTCTGAATAACCTTCTTTCAATAGTATATACAAATAGACTAGAAAATAGATATCTTAGTCTTATCAAATTATAGATAAAAACAAGCAAAGGGCTTCTTTGTAACTGGTCTCATATCTAGTTGTGTTTTGTTTTGTTTTGTTTTTTTGACATCCTTGAAAATTTTAAGAAATATTTTTTAAATAATATATAATATCTTTAATATTTAATTAATTATATTTTATATATATTTTTTACTTATATTACTAAATAGTGATGTGAGATGATAAATTCTTTTAATTAATTATATCATTATAAAGAAGACCAATTAAATATCTATAATAAAGACGATTTTTTAAAACATCTCAATGGTAGCAAATTCCAATATATTTCTTCTACAATACATGTAAAAAGATTATTGTTTTTATTAAATAAAAAATAAATTAAATAATGAAATTATAGTAATATATTAGTTTATAATTAATTTAAAATAAATAAAAATAAAATTTGAACTAATAGTATTTAAACTTAAATTGAAGCACATCAAATTTTATTTTATTATTTCAAAATTAATTATTTTCCTATTTTATGGTGAAATTATGTATTCAAATAATCTTGATATTTTAATTATAATTTTTTAAAATTAAATTAAAATATTATAATATATTTTAGTGTCTAACTTAAGAATTAAACTATATTCAATTTAAATTTAAAACCGAAATCTCTTATATAATTTCAATTATTTAGAAAAAAATATTTATTTATTTGTAATTAGATTATATTCTTATGAATTTCAATTGACTAAAATAATTTTAAAAGCATAAGTGTTAAAAGTAATCTGTCTATTTATAAATCTTAGTTTTGTCATGTTACATATTGAATATTATATTGTAATCATTTTAATTTTTTATTTTTTTTATGCACTTTGTAATTTTCTTTTAATAAATACTCTTATTATATTTAATAATAAAAAAAATATATATATATATATAATCATTTTAAGTAAAATTGTTTTTATTAGAAATATTTGAAATGCCTTTAATGAACAAGCTCATTGGATATGTTATTTTATCTGTAAAAAGAGATATTTTATTGAATCTGTGAACAATATTGTAATTTTAATAATTTTTCTATTATACAATTCAATATTTTAAAATGAACTTAGCTAAATAACATTTTAGTGGGTAATTAAAGTAGAACCTCTTTAGATATAGACTCATCTTATTTAGTTGTGATATAAAATTCCTGCTTTAAATTTTTTTGCTACATAATTATTAAAATAAAATTTAAAATGATATAATTATATTAAAATCATAGAAATAATATTAAAATATAGTAATAAATTTGCAAGTTTGATTTAAGACATTGTGTTTAATGAATTTCTTATAAAAAAATTCAACTTACATGTTTGTATCATTTAAAACTTAATAAAGATGATGGTTTAAATATAAACTACCTTACACATGTTGATTTTTGTAATTTCCATTAAATGTTTTGTATAATTTTTTTAAAGAAGAATCTCTTATAGATATTGCTAAACTTCTTTTGAAATAACATTTAGATTTAGAGATTTTTTGTTACTTTAATTTTTATGTGATTAATTTTAGTTATTTATTATCATTATTTTTTACTTGAGCAATAGAAATTCTTTCTAATAATCATTGATAATCTTCTACAAAAACAGTTGGTATTATTTTTGTATTCATGATTTAAATGTATATATTAGAGGAAATCCATTTAATAATCGAAATGATTGTCAAAATCATTTAGCTATCAAATAATTTATTGCTATTGAAACATTGGTTGTGGATTTTCAGAAACGAGTTATTTGGGCTTATGTGTGTGTGTGTCTTTTTTTTTTTTTTTTTTTTTTTTTTAGATGTTGTTACGTTACAATCTAGAAAATGGGTATTCCACATGTTTACAAAAAACTGAAATAAGATTTTATCAAATGTTGTTGGTTCTGTTAACATCACATTTTTGAAAAGAAGGCTTCATGTTTTATTCTTTTGATAAATTATTTTCCTAAAAAGGAAGGTCCAAATTGTTTAATCTACACAGATATATATATATATATATATATATATGTATATATACATACATTATACATAATAGGACTTTTCAAGCAATTGCTTCTTGAGCTCTATGTCCTCTGAAAACAAAATTTTTATATGTTCCTTGTGTTCCCTGTGTTCCAAAAACTCTCTGAGATATTCATGTGCAATGTGAACACCCACAACCTGCAACAATTTGGTAATGAGAGTTTGAAAATCCAAATCAACGTATTTTTTAAAAAATAAGGAAGTGAAGTAAATTTGAAATGAAGATGTGTACAAATGCCATGGACCTTGTTAATATTGACTATAATAAGAATGTTGGACAAAAGGATGGAAGACGACTCCACATAGCCACCATGTTTTTGTGGAAGCAAGAAAATACTACTAAGCTTATATTCATTAATATATATTTTAAGTACATTCTTACCCAAATCATGAATTTACACAGTTCCAGCTTTCTTTTAAAGGTATATTCACTTATTTTAGTTACCAAAGGGTGGTAAAGGTGATGTGTCTAAGTAAAGAAGACCCTCTACATCAAAATAATGAATAGAAGTAAACTATAGAGGGCCCTTCATCAGAACCCATGCTCAAATCCATGAACTTAACAATAACAAGGCTCCTATTTCATACATAAACTACAACCTCTATTTCGTGCACACTGCTCCAAAGTTTTTGAAACAAATATGCAACAAAGAGACATGCCTATACCAGCTATCTTCTTCAATAGGGGCAACACAGAAGAATAATACCTTCTACCCAAATGTCACCCTATGAATGATAACCCATAAAAAATAACGTTCACCATAAAATGGTACTGGTCTGGGGGTTGTTTTGCCAAAGCAATTATTGTGACGTGGGGCTGAAAAGGGTTTGAAGGAAGTTTATTGGGGAGCTTCGAAGGGAGGCCGCAGCCGCAGCTGTAGCCGCAACCGCGCGCGGGGAGATGCCGCGGGGAGACGCTGCTCCCTGCTGTGGGAGCGGTGCGACGGGTCGCGGCTTTTTTCCAGTCGGCCCCGCGGGTGTCGGTGCATTGTCGCCGCAGAAGAGACAGGCGCGCGGGAGATTGGGTGGCGCTGTCCCACTTCCGACTGCGCACTGAGGCAGTTACTGCGCCGTTAATTGTCTTCGTCGTCGACTGCCGTCCGTATTCGTCTTTCCATCCGCCCCGCCCCGCCGCCCCGCAAGGTCCATGCCTGAAGCTCTCTCTCTGTCTCCCTTCGCGCACGTTCTGGCTATGGTGCCTCCCAAACTCCTGCGCGTTCAAACCCTTAAGCCTCGTACTTGGTTCCTCTCGCTCGGTCGACCTACAGCTTCTTTCGTAGCTCGTAGGAGCTGGTTTCTCTTGCAGTTTTTGACGAGTTTTTATTATTCATGGTGTTGAGTCTGTAGGTTCTTTGTGATTCTTCTGTGTTTACCGCCGCAGCGCTCAGCTGGATGGGAGCTAGGGCTGTCAGTCAGGTTTGAGCTTCAGTGGAGACTAATTTTGCAAGTCGGTGAGGCTGTGGTGAGGGAAGTGGGAGCCCTAGAGAAGTTTGCTAGGATAGTTAAAGAGGATTTAGTAACGCTCCTCCGATTTTTGATTCGTCTACCCTAGAATTTGATTGGCGGGCATGTTCAGTGTGGCTTGCTTTTAGTGTGCATGGAATTTGTCTTCTCTACCACGTGGCTTTGTGAAGCTATTTCCAAGTTTGAGTGTGATTGCTGTCAATGAAGGAATAGTGTTACCGCAAACTTCCATGAGGAGCCTGCATTTCAGGCTGGAGAAGTGAATACTTGGTATTCAGTTGACTCTTGGTGTCGTTCAGAGTTGAGGTTCGGAAGTAGTGGTTTCGGCATCTGCATCTCTGGTGGAAGCTGTCGCGAATCGGATGTTGTTTTGGGATTTGAAATTTAGTGGCCACTTGCGCTCGTTGTTCTGGTAATCCTAACGGGACTGCATTCTTTCTTTTCACAATGAAATGTTGTCCGGTTAGGTAGTGCACAAGCCGAAGGTGCTTCGTTGACGTTTGTTCCTCTTGCAATTCTCTCTTTTTTTGAAATTATCCATAACTGTAGCTATTGATTCCAACTCTTTGGATTCATCCGAGAGCAATTGACTTTCTTTGGGGGAACTTGTATCAAAGCTGAGAGGGAAGTGATTGTTCATCTTTAATGCTTGAACGTAGAAATGTTTGAACCTCGAGAGTTACGGGCGCCTTGTGTCTCCTGTTCGTTTGTTCAATGGCGCCCGCCTGATTTCATGGTTCCCCGGTGAGAAAGTCATTATTCACGGATTGGAGGGAGTTTAAGCCCTCCTAATTCCTCTCAGCGAGGTGAATGACCTTTCCAGAAGATCTAAGTGTGTACATCTGTTGCGCTGCTCAGAGAAGAGGAGTTATAGCTGTGTGATTTTTGGAACGTGGCAGATTGTGAGAATGAACTGAATACTCGACGTAGGTGCAAAAGAAGTGTGACATGGTGTTTTTCGCAAAAGAAAATGGCGTTGGTGGATACAGTACCTTGTAGACAGCGGTCCATGGATAGCATGGCAGGAGGACACTTAGGGCCACCTGGTCATCCGCTTCTTGCTTCAACCCTCCCCCAAGAGCTGATTGATGATTTAAGTAGAAGGAACAAGGTCGAGGATGCGAATCACCTTGCAGAAGAAAAGGAGAGTCTCTGTGGTGGTGAACCTGGGGCGTCGTTTCTACCGAGTACTTCGTACCTTTGTGACTTGCGTCATGGTGCTGATGGTGCCATCGTTCCTGCGGCTGAATCTGGCTTTGTTTCAAGGTGGAGGATGAAAGACAGAGTAAGATACGCACCTCTTGCCATGTTGATAGTTTGCGTTTCTTTCAAGAATTGATTGCATGAGGCTCATTACAATTGCAAGTAAGCCTTACTTTGTTCGATAAGTTTTCAATCATTTTGACGTAATACCCATTACGTCGAAATCAAGCCACAATAGACAGAGTAGCAACTTGTTCGTCGGTGCTTAGTTGATTGTAGCGAAATACTTCCGGTTTGATTTAAGATCTCTCATTGACAGTATTTTGCAATGCCATTAATCGGAATTGACCCTTACACTCTTGAATCATATTTATACAAAACATTTGTACTTTTCCTCTCTTTCTGCCTCAAGGATCAACGTAGTTCTTAGAACCTATTTTTGGATGCTTTTTGGGGTTCGACTGAAATGACTAGGTTATATGCTTGCATTATGATATGTACAACGAGTCCTTGCCGCCAGTTACACTCTTTGTTGACACTGTTTTCAAGTGATGTTGGTTGAACATTTGAAGCTGCAGCAGTTGGACGGATTAAAGACGTTTTACTGTATTGATCTACAGATGAAAACGGGATGGGTGGCATTATGCATGTGCCTAAATATTGGGGTGGATCCGCCTGACGTTATCAAGATTTCGCCATGCGCTCGATTGGAATGCTGGATAGGTAATTATGATGATTGATCATACGCTAGGTTTTTGTTGTCATCAGATTTTTATGCACCATCTTCGATCTCATATTTGGTTACCGTCCCTTGAGTAGTTGTTCAAGTTACAGGATGCATATCGCTGATCTGTTTTTGTTACTTCGAGCGTGAGGTATAGGAACATGAAAGTAAGGTTTGTGAATGCCGCTTGTTAACTTTCCCTTTTCCATGACAGACCCATTCTCGTCTGCATCTGTCAAAGCTTTAGAAGCAATCGGAAAAAACCTGCTAACACAGTACGAGCGATGGCAGCCTAGAGTAAGCACTGTGCTTCGACATTTCCGCCTCTGTAATTTGAACTCACATGTTCTCAGAAAACGTGCATAGGCATGGATGACCTGAGCTGCTGGAAGTCGAGCATTACATTTTTGTGTCGTTTGATGCATTTCGTTAACGCATTGTGTTAATTTGCACTGTTTATTTTAATTACTTTATTTTAAAAAATTTGGATATATAAATATAAATAGAAACCATAAGGTAGGTTGTATAATTTCTCAAATTCTAGCTGTAAGAATACTGGTACCAAGGCATGGTCAGTGGCAAACTTTGTTCTGATGCTTGTGTAATATTCCTTGTTTTGATTAAGAAAGGTAAGTATTATAATTTATGATAGAACCCTCATTACCAAAACAGTGTGGGTTGTAGATCTGCTTAGTTTCGTTTCCTGGTGCATTTACGGTGGTGCCGGCTGCTTCTCTTTCATGCTATCATATTTATTATTACTTGTTTTTATTTATTTATTTATTTATTTTATCGTGTTTGCAGGCTCGGTACAAGGTCTGTTTAGATCCTACTGTTGAAGACATTAGAAAGTTGTGTGTAGGTTGCCGAAAAAGTGCGAAGAGCGAAAGGGTGCTGTTTCATTACAACGGCCATGGTGTACCAAGACCAACAGCTAATGGTGAAATCTGGGTGTTCAATAAGGTGGATATTTAGCGTATTGTTGTACTTTAGTTTGATGGAGTTGGTTAATAGAGTATGATAATATCGTTAGAAGCCTTGAACATCGAGGTGTAGTGTAAACGTTTTTTTTGTTAGTGAGGGACGTCGATATGAAGGTTTTCACATGTGGTCCTACGTTTTGAAAAATCATGCTACATTGTGTCCTTATCTTTTTACATTGTGGTTAATTTTTCGATCTATTTTTTAGTGAGATTATGGATGGTCTTGTGAAGTGAAACTCCGGTGACATAACTAGGTAGATCCGTGTAATTTTGTATACTGATACCATGGTTCATTAGTCTAAAGGATGTCAAAAGAACTCAGTTGTGTACTGCAGCTAATTTATATTCCATCTATTGCAGACTTTTACTCAATACATACCACTTTCAGTTTACGAACTGGAATCATGGCTTGGGAACCCATCTATTTATGTGTTGGATTGCTCAGCAGCTGGCATGATTGTGAAAGCGTTCTGTGAGGTATGCAATTGATGTTTCATCAATGTTCAGCATCTGAGTGATCGTCAGAAATAATTCGTCATTTGCGTGATTTGTGATTCCACAAGGAATTAGTATTTTTTTGGTCATGTGGTTGTGTAAATTGTATCGTCGAATTTCCATGCTTAAATTTGGTAATTTCCTCGGGTCAACTGTCCACAAGCAATTCTTTCTGTTAAGTTTTTGAATTTGTCTTTAGATTTCAATTTTGAGGATTGCTAGCCACTTTATGAGGGCTTCATGCTGCCAGAAGTGATCTTATGTGTACTCGCATTCAATTGTACAGCGGCCTGAGTGGGGCCTTGGAGAAACACCCTCGAGTTCTCTAACTTCTGCAACGAAGGACTGCATATTGTTAGCTGCTTGTGGAGCAAATGAAACACTCCCTCAGGGTATGGAGCTGCCAGCTGATGTCTTTACGTCCTGTCTTACAACTCCAATCAAAATCGCGTTAAGATGGTATCTTTCATATCTGAAATTTGGATATTTTCTCTTAAAGGCTTGTCCATTCATAGGTATGGTTGTCTTTTGCAACCCACTAGTGTCTTAAGTAGAATTTTTCGTTTTTCTTCATTGTGAACCTGATTCCTATTTCTCAAATGCTTTTGACGTAGTGAGTTAGTTTTGGTTTTTTGAAAGAATTGTGGAAGGGAAGCTTAGAAAAAATGTTTGGCTTGTAGTTGGTAGAATGTATTTCCTAGGCTACAAATCGCAATGGTCCCCATAATTGAATATGTTCATCCGTCACAAGTGGCAAGTTCCTGTTGATTTAGGTTCTGTCCACGTTCTTTACTTTCTTTGGATCCCGAGCTCATAGACAAAATACCTGGGCGTCAAAATGATCGGAAGACTCCCTTGGGGGAACTGAACTGGATATTTACAGCTATCACAGATACAATTGCGTGGAATGTGTTGCCACGAGGTGAGCAGCTACTCTTGACGTTTGAACCTATTTTTTCCCCGTGATATTCTGTGAGGGATAATGTTATGAAGACTTAGTTGCGATTACTTGGACCATAAAGTTCACTCTTAGGATGTGATATGAGTAATGTAATCTTAGGTATTCTTTGGCAATTCAATGACGCAGAGCTATTTCAGCGTTTGTTTCGGCAAGATCTTCTTGTGGCCAGCTTGTTTCGTAATTTCTTGTTGGCCGAACGCATCATGAGGGCTGTGAACTGCTGTCCACAATCATACCCTCGCCTACCTCCTACACACCAACATCCTATGTGGTACGTAAGCTCTTGCGTACTCTTTTGTTTGGTTTTCTCTCATATTATTTTCCTATGTTTCTGAGGTGGGAATTCCTCATTTAAATTTTAGTGTTTGAATTGGGTTACTTCGTGTACTAGAAATTTCTGGACATCGTGAAAGGGCTACTTGCCGGTTAAATTTCCTTCATTGAAGCATCTTGAAAATGTCATCTAATGCAACAGAATACCTTTTCCACCAAATTTTCCTGATGTACCACATTTTGTATGTTTTTTTCGCAGGCACGCATGGGATATGGCTGCTGAAATTTGTCTTTCGCAGCTGCCTGCATTGCTAGAGGATCCAACTATTGAATTTCATGTATGTTGAAGGTCTTGCAACTTTTACATGTTTAGTATTATTGCAAATATTTTGTTTAGCGGGTTGTGAATAAGACGGTGCAAGTGTTTTCATCAATATGCTAGGGTAAGCCAAATATGAGTTTAAGCTGAACTCTAGATCTTCTGGTCGTAACTATCATGAGACTTCTACGTACTGAGTTGCAGAGGTCATGAAAATAGTGTTCTCACAAGCACCTTTGTTTCCTGTCACTGATTTTTCGTTTTTAAAATTTTTATATCATTTAATTATTATTTGTGTCGAAATCAGTAGCAAATTTGAAAACAAGACTTGATTTTTAGCCTTTCTATTGCAGCCTAGTCCTTTTTTCACAGAGCAATTGACAGCTTTCGAGGTGTGGCTGGAGCATGGTTCTGAAAGGAAGAAGCCACCTGAGCAACTTCCTATCGTTCTTCAAGTATAGTGTGATCAAGCCATCTAAGTAGTGCTCAGACTGGAGTATCTATGGATGCATGCTCATGAAAAACGTAGTTAGCGACGTTTCTGATGTTCTGTATGATATGCAGTATTTGCCACTTTAGGACTAACCTTGGCTACCATGTGTCATATTTGCGGTAGGATACGTGTATGTGGTTGAGGTTGGTAGTTCAATCATGCTTTGGTCTAGATCTTTCTTTCATGGTCGTATGGCTTAATATTGTGATTTTCATCTTGATCCGAATCTAAAGAATTGTGCTGTTTTTAATGTTATTATTGGGATCTATTCTTCGTGCTCTTTAATGAGAAATTCTTGCTGACATGCTTGTGCAGGTTTTACTAAGCCAGTCTCATAGATTTCGTGCTTTGGTACTCTTAGGCCGGTTTTTGGACATGGGAGCGTGGGCTGTAGATTTGGTAACAATCAATTTTGTTGTTATTTTTGTTATTTGTTCGTTCGTTTGTTGGTTTTTTTTTGGTTTTTTTGGTTTATTTTCCCATCTCCTCTTGTTTGATAGCTTATTGAGGGAGCTCTTTACGTCAGTCAATCTAAATTTCAGATAAAAGTCATGTCGGTTTTTGTCGTTGCATCGCTCATTTTTAGGGCAGTCTTACGATGTTGAGTTTGTAAGGGAGCTGAAATCCTAGTAATGTGGTATTGTGAACTTGTTTGGTCAGGCTTTGTCTGTGGGAATATTTCCCTACGTTCTTAAGCTGCTACAAACAACAGCTAACGATTTACGGCAGATTCTCGTATTTATCTGGACGAAGATTTTAGCTCTTGATAAGGTATCACTTAAATTCTTAAGGTTCTCGTGTTGTCCTGTTTTGAGATAATTTCCTTGAGAGGGGCTTTCATGACATGGAGTGATTACTGTTCGCGTCAAGTACGCACTGTTTTGGCTCTCTGTCTGTCATGTCTTCCATCTTCAGAACCTTGACGTTATCTGTACATTCGTGAATTCCGTGTTTGCAATTTTTGGTTAACCTGTGAACCACTTGAGTATGCCTAAAGTCCCTGTAACCTGGAATTTGAGCTTGCTCAGGATTAATCTGATTTTGTAAGTTAAGGTTGTTCTTTTGACGGTTGTGGATGCTGACGTCTGAGAATGGGAAATGCCACCGTTGTTCGATGCAGTCATGCCAAGTTGACCTTGTTAAAGATGGTGGTCACTCTTACTTCATCCACTTCCTGGAGAGTCCTGGCATTCACGCAGAGCAAAGGGCCATGGCTGCATTTGTTCTGACCGTCGTTGTTGATGGCTATCAACATGGTCAGCAAGCCTGTATTCAAGCTGGCCTAATCAACATTTGTCTCTCTCATATACAAGCAGCTCCAAATGCTTCGGATGGACTGCCTGAACCTTTGCTTCTTCAGTGGCTTTGTCTGTGTCTGGGAAAGGTTTGGGATGGAGCTGCAGAGGGAATATGTATTGCGTTGCATGAGGATGCCCCTGCAATCCTTGAGAAAATCCTTAAAGAACCGCATCCTGAGGTAACTGATGATAATTGTGAGTCAAGTTCTTTTAATCAAGGAACTGGACTTCAAGTAAAGTGGTCACTTTTCTGCTGTTTGTTCGTGTTACTTTTCAGACCTTTATGCAGATTGTTGTGTTGAAAGTTGGCGTTAGAGTCTTTTCTTTTCAGAGTAAGATAATGACGTGGGTCCAGATTTTCGTGCATAAGACCGAGGTCTTGCTAATGTGGAATATTATAGGCGTGTGATTATGTGGAGCAATGATTTTTTTTCAGGTTCGTGCCGCGGCTGTATTTGCGCTTGGGACTATGGTGAAAGTTGGAGTGGATGAACCTTCTATAGAAGGAGCTGACTCTGACGTGCAGGAAGTTGCGGAACAAAGGATCGCAGCCCTACTACTGACAGTCTTAAGTGATGGAAGTCCACTTGTTCGAGCCGAGCTTGCTATAGGTGTGTAAGTCCTTTTTAGTTCCGCCTGAGAATCAAGCATGTACATATGTATTGATGTAGAATCATGTCTTATATTGCCTCTATGTTACATCTGCTGTGTGTTTGTACGTTAATGTAGAAGTATCAGCTAGATTATTTTTTTCTTCTTCTTAGAGTAGCATCTTTAGTTACGTCGTACGAAGCTTGCAACTTTTCGCATGATGATCATTCTCTTCATCCATGCCAAGACTGGAGCATCTTGATTTCTGGTCTAGTTTTCGTATTTATGTGCAGTATCTATTGTGGGCTTGGAATCCATAAAAGTGTGAGTACTTGGTAATTTAGACAAGGACACTAGCTCTAGCATTTAAGTTTTATGTTGACACATCTGTGTACTTCCACTTCAAATTTTTCGGTTGAAACTTTTGCCACCAATTGGTTTTCTGTTTGCACTAATACTTGCAGTTGTCTAACTTTGTCATTGTTCCAGCAATGGCACGAATAGCATGCAGCCATAATAGGATGTTCCGACAAGCTGCTGCAGCGTACTTAAAATTGCCATCTCAATCAGCAGTTGTGCCGAACTATGGAACTGGCTACAGAAACCCAGGGTATCCGTACGCTTCGCAACTTATTTATGCTGGTTCACAACAAGATCTAGATCAAGGTCTTCAGACTCTGGATGGAGGAGCGACTTACCATTCATTTATGCGCATTGTTAGGAGCAGCGGGTCTTTGTCAGGCTCTCCAGGTACTAGTCATGCAGTGGACCTTTGACAATCCAATTTTGTATTGTGTTGACGCTTTGATTTCGGTAGCAAGAATTAAATGTGATAGATTGTGTTAATACTATGTGCGAAAGGTTCGAGTACCTATAAGACGCAGGTTATCGGGAGCCATCTTTGTGGATGAATAATTGTGTGGCTTTTATCCCCGGTCTTTATGCTAGTCAGCTGTACTGGATCGCACGATTATGGTTTCTAGAGTCTCCAGTTTTATGCTTTTGAATTCTTTCTATTATATTTTTTCAAGATTAAAAAATCGTTAGGGTGCTGTCTGTCTTAGTTTTTAATCTTATTTTATTCTACTCATTATCAACTGGTTTGCAGGCTCTTCTGGGAATTCGCCTTTATCTGATAATGCAGTGCTTGGAGATTCCAGTAGCATTGCTTCCAACAACGGTGGCAACCGGCAATGGAAACGTCCTGAAGAAAGCAGCTTCTATGTGCAATGTATTATGGCCGCTTATGCATTGGCTAGAGATCCTTTTCCTCGTGTGGCTAGTCTGGGCCGGAAAGTTTTGAGGATAGGTGGAGTTGAGTCAGCTCAAGTTGTTGTACCTTCAAGAGCTGGTGGTGTCGTAGGTTATCCACGAAATCCACCTGTGGTTGCACTTCCTCCTACCCCGCCTATGGCCGGGGTGCTACATAGGTCTACATCTTGGGTAGCATCTTCTTCAGGTCAGTCACTTTTATGACTTCTTAAATTTTGTCATTTTTGTTATTTTGAAGCACTGTGTATTGTTTCTTGCTTTTCAACCTGGTGTTTTAGTTTGGAATGTAGTGTGATCCCTGTGGTATTGCTTCGCACAGGAAATCTGGCAAGCACTTGGCGTATCACAACACCTCCCCCGAGCCCACCCACTCGACCAGCATTTCTTGCAGGTTCTACCAGTAGCCTTAGACGTGTGGCATCTATGGATATTTCTGCGGCATTGGCCGGAGCTTGGGATCCTTCGAGACCAGCAGTACGAATAGCTGGTGATATTGTTGCATATCCTTCATCTCCAGTTCTGAACACACTGACATCTGGTCTAGCTGATGCAGCTGGGATGATGAACTCTGGGGTTTCAGCAGTGAATCTGGAAGCAGCTTCAACTGCTACTTCATTGCCAGAGTCAACTTTTTATAAGTGGAGTTGTGGTCACTTCTCCCGTCCATTGTTGGAACCCTCTCACGATGATGAAGAGGAGATATTAGCTCGACGGGAAATGAGAGAGAAGGAGGCACTCAAAGGAATCGACAGATGTCAACATTCAAGTGAGTTATTTGGTGCATTACTTATTCGTTTTCTCGTATATGCAGAATCAAGTTTATTTCTAACAAATTCTGACATCTGAACATCTGAGGTTTAGCCTCTTGTTTTTGCGATTTGTTCTAGTTCTCCTATTTCCTCTTCGTAATCTCACTCGCTGTAGGGATCATCTTTTGTTTTGAAAGTATTGGATAATCCTTGTTTCAGTCTATTTGAGGTTTGTTTTTTCTGGAGCAGGTGTAAGCAAAGTAGTCGATCAGATCGGCAGTTGGGATACTCAATCTGAAGTTGGCACGAAAGCAGTGCTATTGCACCCATTCAAACCCCTAGTCTGTAGTGTAGATGACAACGAGATTATCAGGTATTTCGACTTTTGGAAATTAATTTTTTTTTTAACGACGTTTATTTATGTAGCGGTCCATATATCGACACATGTTAGTAATGTCTTGCATGAGTTTTATTTTTTAGTTTTCAAATTTAACCGTGAGTCTAAAGTCCACTCGTGACGTCTGTATTTAACATGATAGAACAGTAGACGTTAACTTTTAATAATTCTACTTAGGTAATTTCGCTGCACACGAGCCTCGATTATGCTGTACATATCCAAGACTCTTTTTCTTGTTGATTAGTGCATCTTTGTTATGAACCTAGCTTGAATATTCTTTTGCAGGATATGGGATTATGATGCGGGTGAAGTAGTGAACACTTTTGAGAATCATAATACCCCAGACAAAGGGATCTCCAAGCTTTGCTTGCTCAATGAGTTGGATGATAGCTTCCTGCTTGTTGCTTCAAGTAAGTTGTTTTTTTTTTGGGCACGTATACCGCTTGTTGCTGCTTTTGATTCAACCGAAGTTTTTCAGTGCGACAATTTTCTGCTTGTTCTACATCAGTAATTTTTGTAGTTTGAGTCATTAACGAGGGACCTGGCTGCGAATGTTCAATGCTCAATTATTTCAATTGTAGAAGAACACACACACTCCCCCCAAGTTCATGTATGCATGTGAACTATTCGTTTTTCTTTAACTTGTACCACTTCGGATTCTATTCTTCAGTGTTTGTCATCTTCTTCTGGTTTCCAACTATTTTATGGTGTACGATTGTACGCGCTCCTAGTGCTGAGGTGTGAACTTAAGAGTTTTGCCTTGATTTATGAATATCTCGTATTATAATTCTGTACATCCAGGTGATGGGAGCATAAGAGTGTGGAAAGATTACACGCAGAAGGATAAGCAACGTCTAGTGACAGCATGGCAGTCTGTGCAAAGGCACAGACCTGGCGCTCGAGGCCTCAGTAGCGTGGTGGATTGGCAACAAATGACAGGTTACTTGGTAATACACTATACCAACTCTTCCACGAGCATTCAGTTGTTAGTCTTTTAGCTTGTTCAGCATGAGTTGTTTGTTATCTCCTCTTTCCGTTACTGTTGTTTAGTCGTCAGGTCTCGAGTCTAGAGTTAGTTGAAGGTGGAATCCTTTTAGGAACACTATTCTGGATCTTTTCTTAAAAACAATTTCAACTCCCTAATACTTAGAAGCACAGACTAAACAAAGACTGGTGATTTCAACCAAGCCGCAAAAAATTGAATGTTTTTGCTTACTAGTGTCGTGTTATGTATTGCAGTATTCATCAGGTCAAATTTCCTGTATCATGGCGTGGGATCTTGATCGAGAGCAGTTAGCCTACAGGATACCTTGTTCAGATAGTTATGCGTCTGCTATGGTGAGCTTGATATGGCCACCATACTTTGTAATATAAATTAATGTTCTAGATGGATTAGATCCTCGGAATGCAAGTTCCTGTTTTAGTATTTTCTTTGGAAGCCATGCCTATTCTGTGCTGAAGATGAATGTTTTTTTACAGAACTTTGTGAAGAGTTTTTTCGGTATACTAAGTTTACAGCTGGTTGATGGACAGGCTGCTTGTCAGACACACCATGCACATGTGATTACTGGCTGTGGAGATGGGTCTGTCAAGGTTTATGACGTACGGTCGCCTGAAATGTAAGTGCTTCTACTTTACTAGAAGCTTCATTATATTTCAGAATGTATACTAGATGTATAATTGGCTGTAAATTCTCTTAAAGTCCCTTTTATGTGCTACTAAGCCTTCATTCATGTGTACGCAGGCTTGTGTGTGCAATGAAACCGCATGGTACGAAAGTTGTTGGTCTTGACTTTCAACCTGGGGCAGATTTTACCAAGGTCATTCTATTCTCTATCTTGAATGGATGTTGTATGTATATCAAAACTGGTTAATGAATTCATGTGGTTACTCATCAAGTGGATAGCAACATCGAGGTTAATACATCAGCTGTGATCAGTCTAAATATTCTGTCTTCTTTTAATTTTGGTTACTTCTCTCCTAACGGATTTTAAATGACCCTGCAGTTGATCTCAGCATCACAGGCTGGGGACCTTAAAATGTTGGACTTGAGAAACAGCGCACCTTATCTGGAGGTAGATGCACACAAGGGCCATTTGACGTCCTTAGCTGTGCATCGATACGCACCTGTGATTGCCACAGGATCAGGCAAGCAGTTGATCAAAACCTTCAGTACAAGCGGGGAGCAACTGAGTGTGGTTCGACCTCACAACAGCTTCTTAGGCCAAAGAATTGGTCCAGTTACTTCCTTGCACTTTCATTCTTACAACGTGTTTCTGGCTGCGGGAGCTAGTTACTCCATGGTTTCCATTTATGCTGGGGAAAGCATTCAAGGAAGATAATATTTGGCGAAAGCATGTAAGGAAGAAAGCTTCAAATATGCTGGGAAAAGCATTTCAAGTTCTCTAGCCGAAGGACTGCACAGGCATTTGAACGAGCTACTGCCTGTCTGTGATCCTTATTTCGTTCACCAAGCCATGGCTAGGACCAGCTGTTCAATCTGGATGAACTTGGAAGCGATGGGGTTGTTTTTGAACAGGAAGCTGAGTCGGAACTGAACTTGGTTTTGGATCTGCAGTTCCGTGTCTATACATTTCTTTCATTTTCATCTCCTTAGGAATATTCTTTCTAAAGCTGGGCATTCTTATGGCACTCCGTATGTATTTTTGTACATCTATTTTTTTGGCTATATTACAACTGCACAGCTTGTGCTTAACTTAAAATCCTTTTGAAACCTTGATAGTTGAGTGATATGTGAGTGAATTGACACACTGGACCCTACGATATAGCTCAAGTGAACAATTTTTTTGTAAAATTGAATCAACACTGGCAGGTGATTAACATGTAGTGAACTATTCAACTTGTCATGCTGTATTTATGATACCGTCTCGAGTTTTTTTTAGCTTATTGATTGTGATATATTGGTTACAAGTTTCCAGATCATCTTGACCGTAATAACAGTGTACTTGGATCATGTGTATGGATTCATATTAGAGATGATACTTGAGGCGGAGAATTTGTGCTCTCTGCTAATCTCTGCCTGCTTTGTAGTCTCATTTGGATTACACGTTAAACACTTAGTTCTACTCACAATGCGTGGTGTTAGAATGATGTACTGTTAGTTTTTAGTCGGCACTTCAGAAGCTGAACACTGTAGAGGTATTTGATTTGGACTCATCAGACTAACGGCTTGCTCATAATCATGGCCTGAGGCTTGAGTGGGGTTCTCGGGGGTTGCATCTAATTGAGTAGAGCATGTTGGTGCACAAAGAAATGGGACGTGAAATTTGTGTGTACAAGTGCGTATCCTTGTCTTTGAGAAGATGGTAGAGGATAAAAAATATTTTTCAACCGCCACCACTCAATCGGTTGTTCTGCGGTTGACAGTGGTTTTACTATATGATGTTAATGGTTAAACAAACCTTTTCATTACATCGATACTGCATTTTTATGCTTTTCACGCAGATTGTGTGATAGACAAATATTGTTTATTGTCAACATTTTCAATTGTGAATAGTCTTTCTCCCCAAGCGGAAAAATCTATTTACTTGTGCTAATTATGCCTTTTCATTACAGAAGAGAAATATGATAGATTTTGTTGGAAATTGCAGTAAATAATCACTTTGTAAAATGTCTTTGCAAAGTGATGGATTAAAAGTAATACATATATACTCCATGTAGATAGGCAACATATATATCTTGAAAAATATTCTTTAATCAAAAAACTTAGTTGTCAATACTTATCAACTGTAAATGATATACTCAAAAGTTAATTCATTGTATTATCGGCTTACTTAATTACAATACACTTTACACCCAACAAAGTGTTGAAAAGAAAAGAAAAAAAAGGAAAAAAAACTTTAATAAAATGAAAACAAACCAGCCTAATAGAATTCCCTTCCGGTTATATATTTTACCCCCCTCTCATTGTCCAAGAATGCGCCAACCTTTTGGTGTAACGTTGTGGTACCATAAACAAAAAGACAGATTGAAGGCACTAGAGCATCAACAAGTCCTTTGCCTTGAGTTGGAAGCGGCCAAAGTTTCTACAAGGCTGAAGCAAAGAGCATACAAACTCTGTTGCCCCTCAATCCTACACACGCATGCCGTCATGCATCCCGCGAGCTCAGCGTAACGACACATGGACCTAAGAATTTACATCCTTAACAAAACTGGACCGAGCCCAAGGGACCCAGATCTTCACCACCGTCAACGATTGCGTCTAAACCTCATCAAAGGGAACCATAACACGAGAGCTCACATCCGACGCGCCATGCGAGCCACTCGAAGCTCTTGAAGCAGTTTACAGCGTCTAGGTGATCACGGTGGGCTTCTCGCGGTCAGTGAATACTTGCAGTTTCGACAATGAGAGAGCCATGTCGATCAGTGGCTTCAGGGCCTCCTGCGCATCTACGTCATGTTTGGAGGCGTCCGACTCGAACTTCTCGACGTAGAGTCGGATGGTTGCGCCTGCTGATCCCGTGCCTGAGAGCCGGAAGATGATGCGGGAACCGTCCGTGAAGACGAATCTGATGCCTTGGTTAGCCGCAACGCTGCCATCTACTGGGTCAGTGTAGGTGAAGTCGTCCGCGACCTTGAGGGTGTAGTCACTGTATACGTCTCCTTCCTTGCTTTTGGAGAGAATGTCTCTGAGGTGGGCAACCATCTTGTTGGCTCCCTCGGTCTCGCAAGACTCGTAGTCGTAGCGGACGAAGAAGTTGCGGCCGTAGGTGGCCCAGTGCTCCTTGACGATGTCGGCAACTGAAACAAGGGCGTCGTCGGGTTGAGAGTTCCTGTTCTTGTATGCGAGAATGTTGAGCCACGCTAAGACGGCCCAGATGCCGTCCTTCTCCCTAATGTGGTCGGAGCCTGTGCCGAAGCTTTCTTCTCCGCAAACAGAAAGCTTCCCAGCGTCCATCAAATTCCCAAAGAATTTCCATCCTGTTGGAACCTCAAAGAAAGGCAAGTCCAGCTTCTCCGCCACTGCGTCGAGTGCACCACTTGTGGGCATGGATCGCGCCAAACCCTTCAATCCGCTCTTGAAATAGGGAATGGACTGCTGCGCATTGGCAGCTATAACAGCTACTGAATCAGAAGGCGTGACGAAGAAGTGGTCTCCAAGGATCATGTTACGATCGCCGTCTCCGTCGCTTGCAGCACCGAAAACAGGGGCATCGGGGCCATACATTATGTCCACAAGCTCATGGGCGTATGTCAGGTTAGGGTCAGGATGACCTCCTCCGAAATCGTCCTTAGGGATGCCGTTGATGATGGAGTCCTCCGACGCACCCAAATTGTCGACGAAGATAGTTTTCGCATAGGCGCCGGTCACAGCGTGCATGGCATCAAACTTAAACCTAAAGTTATCCCTAGCAAGAAGGCCACGGATCAGATCAAAGTCGAACACCTCCTTCAGCAACTCCAGGTAGTCCTCGACGGGATCAATCACTTCCACAACAAAATCACCAAAGCCGGTGCTGCCCACAGCTGCAAGGTCAATATCAGGGAGGTCGGCCATCTTAATCTCCTTAATGCTCATAGTGTTCGAATAGATCTTGTCTGTGATTGACTCTGGCGCTGGTTGTCCACTTTTGTAGTTGTACTTAATGCCCCAATCTTCGTCCGGGCCGGCGGGATTGTGGCTGGCACTCATGATGAACCCTCCATCAGCCTTCTGCTTGCGAATTATAGCAGAGACGGCAGGAGTCGAGATCAGACCATCTTTGCCCACCATTATTTTGCCGACTCCATTAGCAGCAGCAATTTTGATAATGATTTGGGCAGCTTCTTTGTTGAAGTATCGGCCATCTCCTCCCAGTACAATCGTACTGCCCTTCACGTCTTCTTCAGGGATGGAATCAAACAATGCCTGAATCCAGTTTGCGAGATAATTCTCTTGCATGAACACCTTCACCTTCTTCCTCAACCCACTCGTGCCAGTCTTCTGCCCTTCAATAGGCTTGGTCGGCACACTCTTGATTTGGAACTCAGTCTTGCTGCTCGCAGCTCGCACAATGTGGCTCTCTGTACGTCGAAGTGGCCTCGCCGGCGTTGTTTGAGTTGAAAAGGAGTTCCTCCAAGCAAGAGATGATGGGGAGGCTGCGGGAATTCTGACGGTAGCAGAACTTGGACGAGACAAACCCGATGAGAGAGAGGAGCGCAGTGGTGTGGTGCACATCTTTGCTGATCCTACCGCCGCCATTGTGGAAGAAAAGTGGGTTCGAACAACCCACAATCGCTCCTCGACTCTCAGCTGCGATCGTCAAGCTGTAATTTGCGTAATGCATACGATCCTGTTCGATGTAAACCAACTTTGTTACTTTGAATGCATGGGAGAAAGGAGATTGAGGCAGGGAACGCTAAGTAACAGCTTTCTAGCCTTCTTAGAACGCCGCTAATCGACGGGATCACACCACATTGTGACTGCAAGTGACCCAGATTCATCAAACTGCGAACCAAGTGCACATACACCAACGCACGCTAAACATGGCCACTCCACGCACACCAAGCACTCCAAGCTTCCAATCCAATGTTCAAAAAGCCCCTACAAGCATGAAATCACCAACCCACTCGAAGCAACTCACACAATACATCAAATCCTTGACCAAAAGAAGCACAAGTCACTTAGAATTCATACACCTCAGAAGCAAATCGTAGTACCTGCAATATCGGTAGTCGCAATTGCTCAAGGGTGTCCCTATATAGTGCCGTTTCTCGTCCTCGTTCGTCCAGTCGACGCTGAGTAATCGTCGGTTTAATCGTTGCTCATACCCTAGGGATCTGGATTCCAGTCACCGCTTTGGACGCATGCTGCGCACGAGCATCCCAGGCTTCTTTCACATAGAGTTCTACGACTCGGGGCCAACCAACAAACATGCTGAACAGATGGTTTGTGCTCTGCGTTGCGCTCTGCCAGTGGCCGCAGAGATCTTGCCAAGAATGTTCCATGCGCTGAGTTGGAGATCCGCTGCTAGGCTTTCCTTTTGCCAATGCAGTTCAGCAAGATATTTGTTCTCAGCTGCTACTCTGGTGCCATGGACAGTCAGGCCCACTGGGCATATCATGGCGATTGATTTCGCTTCGACCATCGCGAGATGCCAACAGATTTTTGCAACCTCAGCGTACGTCGCTGTGTCCGTTTGTTGGACTCGCAGGCACCGTCCGTTGTGCGAAGGCACGAAACGGTTGCAAGCCATCGTTTGGCTGCTAGCGTGCCAGCAACTCGTGGTTGTCTGCGAAGATGCCCTCGGTCAAATTGTGTTTGCAACTTGCGAGGTCGGAGCGAGATCTTCCACCACCGATTTCAAGAGTTGGGGTCTCCCTGCGGCACACCGCGTTGACCGCATCGTCACCTCCCCCCATGACGACGAGCCCGAGACGCACCGCGACGTCGCCATGGCTGCTCTCATGCAATTTGGCCTACCAATTAATATTGGCTTCTAGATTGACATTATATCATTAATATTTTATTTATATAAAAATTTTACATCTATATATATATATATATATATATACAGAGAATTTTTAACACTACATCTCCAATAGATATTGCTACACCTAATGAGACCTCTACATGACTTAAATTGACTAAAAAGTGAGCTTTTGTGCTTAAGGCATGTTTGGCATTTCAATATTTAATCCCATTATTGAACCAAAAACTAAAATAAATCATTTATATATATATATATATATATATATTTTATGAAACCAAATAAAAAACATTGACATAAATATTTCTTAAGGCAAATATTTTGTTTTGTTTTGTTTTGTTTTTAAATAGCTTGGAACTTGTTTCTTTTCATAAAATATTCATTGTTTTTTTTTTTTTTTTCAATCACTACCTTTACTTAAAGTAAAAGAGAAAAAAAAAATGTGCAAAAGGAAGATGAATATCATTAGCTAGTTGTCTACAATGAGGTCACGTGAGGTATAGGAATATCAAATATGAATATAGTATTAACAATTTTCTTATAAGCGATAATGTGATCCAAATTTTTACTAAAGCGACCCACTCTAACTTAACTATTATTTCACTCTTTCAGCCCATATTCCTATGTCAATCTGTTGTCAAAGATATGAATCTCAAAGAAAGAGAATCCTCAATACACTCTAGTGTCACTGAAGAAAACTAGAAAGTCACTCAAAAGGTAATGTAATATTAACTAGAATGGCTATTGCCAAAAACAAGAAGACTAGAAAGTCTTGAAATAAGACTAAAGACTAGAACGGCATTGACAAGAGTTAAGGAGGCTTCACTCTTACCTCCTTATATACTTATAACTAGAAGCTACCTAGCGATGTCCTATAAGACCTCCAAAACATGTTGACTTTGCTAACCTCATGTCTTAACTTGCAAGAAAAGTTATTTATATATGCGCCACATAGTTAGCTTGTTCCACAAGCTACCAACACATGGTTAGCTTGTTGGCCAAGTTTCTAACCTACAAACACATCTAAAGCCAAAACTGCGTCTATGAAGCTTCTAGAAGTTTCTCTAAAAGACTTTATGGAATTAATCTATATTTACCTACTTCTACCTAATCATATAAGTAACTATTGAGGTAAATGTATATGTTTATGATATTATCATGTCTTCTAAGAATGAATTTTCCTTGAGGAGCAATCATCATCTTTTATGGATCTTTGCAGTTCTTTATCTTGGATTTGATGGATATTGTCGATGAAAGATCACAACTTTCTTTGTTGCATTTGTAAGATTCTTTGTTAGCTCCCATGAGTGTTCGCTAAGAACATATCCACACCAATGAATAAGATATTCTAACCTATTTTGATGTTGCATTGAATCTAAGACTTCTTCTACCTCGAATTCTTGATTATTGTCCACTTCTATAGGAGGAGGTGGCATTTGTCTTCTTTCCAAGATATTCACTCTCTTATGCGGCTCGAGAAGGGATACGTGAAATACATGGTGGATCTTTATAGACTCTAGTAGATATAATCAATAAGCAATAGGATTGATTTGTTCACAAATAGAAAAAAGTTCCAGCCTATGATAGTCTAACTTATAACAAGGTTAAGTAATCTTGATATTTTGACAAAGTAACCATACCTTGTTACTTACGTTGAATTGTAGTTGTTCCTTGCAATAGGCATCCACATTGGCATTTTGCCATTCTTAAGCTTCTTTTAATTGTATCTTTATTGTTGCATGTAGCTCTAACAAATGATTTACTAAATCTTCTGCCACAGGATTATGAATTTTTGAAAAGTCAAGAGTGTCAAGTCATGGATGATAACCATAATTTGCAAAGAAAGGCATTTGTTGACTAGAAGAATATATTGAATTATTGTATGCAAACTCTGCTAATTGCAAAAGAGTTGTCCAATCATCTTGATGATAGTTGATTGTACACTTCAAATACTGTTCAAAAACTTAATTCACTCATTCAGTTTGCCCATCAGTTTGAGGATGAAAAGCCGAAGAAAGCTTTATATCTACCTTTAGAATCTTGAATAGAGTTCTTCAAAATCTTGATACAAATTGAGTCCCTCTATTGAATATAATATCCTTTGGCAATCCATGATAGCGATAGATATTATCAAGAAAAAACTTACCTATTTCTTCACTTGAAACAGATTTTGTACATGGTACAAAATGTGCCATTTTGGTGAAGTGATCTACAATTATGAATATGGAGTCATATAAACATGAATTTGGAAGATCCATGATAAAATCCATAGAAACAGAAGACCATGATTGTTTTTGAATTGGTAACAATTGAAGAAGTCCATGAGGTCGATGGCAAAGAGTTTTGGATCTTGAATAAATATCACATGATTGTACAAAGTCTTTTATTGCTTTTCACATTTGCGGCCACCAAAAATCTCTAGATATAAGTTGTAAAATCTTGTTGTATCTAAAATGTCCTGTTGTAAGAAAGTCATGACATGCTTGAAGAATAAGTAAACGTGCTTCTCTTTCTGGAACATATAGGTGTCCTTCAGAATAGAGAAGGTTGTTCTTGAATTCAAACTTTGAAATATCATGAGACTTAGAAGAAAGATGCTTGATATCATAAAAAAGAGGATTAGAAGACATATTTAATTGGATTTGCTTGATAAAAGTTGAATCAACAATCAATGTTGATTTTATTGCTTGAAGATAAAAATGCTTGAGCTTCAAGAAAATTATTGTTTGTTGATGAAAAGGTGCATTTCCTTCTTTTGGTGCAAGATAAGAACGTCTAGAAAGGACACCTAATAGACCTTATTATTTTCCGAGTTGATAAGTGATCTTAAAATTGATTTTGGATAAAGACATGCTCAAACGGGCTTGACGATGATTCAAAACACGTGCTGATATGAAATACTCGAGGTTCTTATGATCTGTATATATGGTAACTGGACTTAAAGTGCCTTCTAGATAATGATGCCATTCTTGAAATGAATCCATGATTGTAAGGAGTTCTTTGTCATAGATCTCATAATTAATTTTAGCTGCTAAAAATTTCATAGAATGAAAAGCTACTAGATGGAGTTTATCATCTATTTCCATTTGTGACAATACAACATCCATAGCAAAGATTGATGCATCTATTTTCATAAAAAATGCCTTGATAAAGTCGACACAATATAAGATTGGTACAGAAGTAAACTCTTTCTTTAAAGCATCAAATGTTGCTTCTACTTCTTTATTCCACTTAAGTTTGTCTTTACAAGTCAAACTTATAAGTGGAGTTATAACTTGAAAAAGTTCTTGATGAAGATTTGGTAGTAATTAGCAAAGCCTAAAAAGCATTATACATCTCGTACTCTTTTTAGAATCTTCTAATCTATGATAGTTTGGACCTTTTTAGGATCCATCATAAGGCCTTCGTTGGAAATGGTGTACCCTAAAAAGTCAACTTGAGTAGTGTAGAATACACACTTTTCCAACTTGGTATATAATCCTGCATCTCTAAGTTTCTGTAGCACACAACAAACATGAAGTTCATGTTCTTCCGTGTTCTTAGAGTAGATTAGAATGTTGTCTAAATAACAAATGACAAAATCATCTACAAACTCACAAAAAATATCATTCATAGATATTGAAAAGCGATCGATGTATTTGTGAGTCTAAAAGATATGACATTATATTCAAAATATCCATATCTAATTCAAAAAGCAGACTTCCATTCTTCTCTTTCTTTGATACGAACTAAGTTGTATGCTCATCATAGATCTATTTTGGTATAGATGTTTGCTTGATTGAGTTGGTCAAGAAGTCCTAAAATCAAAGGCAAAGGATTTCTATTCTTAATAGTGATCTTATTGAGTCTTCGATAATCTACACACATCTGTAGAGATCTGACTTTTTTCTTTACAAATAAGATAGGAGTTTCGACTGGGAATTTAGAATGGTGTATGTTCTTTGCCAAGTTCTCATCAATGTACTCCTTTAATGTAGTCAATTCATTTTGCGATAAGCTATAGATTGGTCCGAATGGTAGTTGAGCTCCTTCTTACAAATCAATTGAATAATCATAAGGTCAATACTCTAGAAGAATATCTACATTTTTTTTTCAAAAACGTCTTGAAATTCTTCATATTGGCTAAGAATACCACTTGACATTTTTTCACTATTAGAAATGGGCATAGCATATATAGAAAAAGAAGATCCTTCTTTTGGAGCATGCATGAAAGCTCTTGCACCTACCAGTAAAGGTTTGGAAGTACTAGACTTTTGTACTTATATTTTACTAATTCGATCTTGGATTATACTACCAAAAAAGTTAAGGTTACGAGAAATCCAATCTATTTGAGGATTATAGTTTTTTAGCCACAATAATCCTAAAATAACCGGATTAGAGGAAGATCTTATTACATTAAATACTACTATATTTTTATGATCTTTAATTGATACATCTAAAGGAATAATTTCATGGATAACATTTCTAAAAGACAACGAACGACCATCTATGATTTCTACATGTACAGATTTAGTTTTTTTAACTAAAGGTATTTTTTGATTTTTGACAAAATCTTTGTCTATAAAATAGGCTGAGGCTCCTGAATCTAATAAGGCAAGGACTTTGTGATTTTTAGGTCCTAAATGCACATCTATTATAAAATAAGGTGAAGGATTTGAAGAGAGAATCTGACCTTTATTAGATTTTGCACATGATTCCAACCGCACGATCCCTATTGTAGTTGGAGAAACTTGTTGTTTGACACATTATCTTCTTTGATAATTGTACTCCTCATTTTGTAATTGCATTGCTTCTTTAGACAATGTTGAGCATTGTGCTTAGCTTCTCCACAGTATAAATACAAACCTTCTTGGCAAGGTTGAGTCTTTTTTTGCTCTGTGAGCGTTTAAAATATATTGTATCAATTTATATTGGTTTTGGCCTTGATGAATACATTTCAAAAAACTTGGAAGCTGCCACCATTACTTGACTTGTTCCTCTACAGCCAAGTCTTTGTTCTTGATGCCTTTCAAATAATTGATTGTCACATGCAATGGCTTGAGCAATAAATTGTTCCAAAGATTTTGTTTTCAATATTGTTAATAACAAATCTTTGACACTATTCTTTAATTTATATTAAATTGATTAAATAGTACTTTATCATTCCAGTCCACATCGCAAGCAAGGTTTTGGAATTTAGTAGCATATGTTGTGGTTGATTGTAATCCTTGTCGTAAAGATAAGAGTTTGATCTTTGTTACTTGTTTTCAATCATTTTCTCCAAATATCATTGTAAACACTTCTAAAAATGAATTTAAATCATAAAGGAGTTGCAAATCTTTTTTTTATTAAAGGTGCAAATCAAGATAGAGTACTTTTTGATAGAAGTGCGCCTATGAATCTAACTTGAGTAAATCCATCAGGATATTAAAAAAGATGCAACCTTAGATAGAGCTTGACTTATTGCAAAAATCCTCAAAATTTTGATCTTGTTGGATGAAACTTCTCAGGCATACTAATCCTTGTCCCCATCATACTTATAAAAGCAAAACTTCCTAGATTTGGTTGTTAGGTCAATCTACTTGCTTTCTTCAATTGCACAACTTCTTGCCACAAACTCTGAATATCTTCCATAGGTGTAGGCATAGTAACTCCATAATTTACATTAGAAATATGTGAGATTTCTACTCTAAGAGTATTGACAAGCTCATGAAGATTTGCAATAGTTGCAAATCTATTCTTACTTCTGTTAGATGTAGCGTCTATGATCTTTCCTTCCATAGGTAACTCAAACAAATCCAAAAAGTTAAATTAAAGGAAGATAATCCATAACCTCTAATAAGAATTTTATCAAAGAGGGATAATCCACTCTCTTTGAAGAAAGATCAATGTTAGAAAATAAGATTTTTTTGTTTAAAAGGTAGATAGTCCACAACCTTCAAAATATAATAATAGAAGTGAAATAATCTACTTACTTCTAAAATAAGATAAAAATAGTATATTAGCACTCTTGTCAAATTGTCAAGGACATGAATCTCAAAGAAAGAGAATCCTCAATATACTCTTGTGTGACTAAAGAGAACTAGGAAGTCACTCAAAAGGTAATATAATATTAACTAAAATGGCTATTGCCAAAAACAAGAAGACTAAAAAGTCTTGAAACAAGACTAAGGACTAGAACGACATTGATAAGAGTTAAGAAGACTTCATTCTTGCCTCTTTATATACTTATAACTAGAAGCTATGTGGCGATGTCCTATAAGACCTCAAAATTTTGTTGACTTTGCTAACCTCATGTCTTAACTTGCAAGGCAAATTATCTATGCATGCACCACATAGTTAGCTTGTTCCACAAGCTATTACATGGAGTTAACTTGTTCCACAAGCTACTACATGGAATTAACTTGTTCCACAAGCTACTAACACATGGTTAGCTTGTTGGCCAAGTTTCTAATCTACAAAATATCTAAAGTCAAAACCGCATTTATGAAGCTTTTAAGAAGCTCTTCTAAAAGACTTTATGGAATTAATCTATATTTACTTACTTCTACCTAATCATATAAGTAATTATTGATGTAAATGTATATATCAGTGACATCCATTTCTTGTTGTCAATTGTTGCTAAGGATGGAATTTGAGAACATTGAGATTGGAGGGAATGGTTGGGAAGATGGAAATAGGGGCAACGATTGAGAACAAGGAAATAGAAGTGACAACTGGGAACATGGGAATAGGGGTGATGACTGAGAACTTGGGAATGGGGGCAACAACTAGGAACATGAGAATGGCTGAGAATGGAAATAGAGTTGAAAGGATACAATGATGGCTTAAATATGTGAGTTAATTTTGTAAAAATTCTGGTTGTTTTATCATATATATATATAAAAGTTATATCTCTTCTATTCTATTCTATTCATTTAGAATTAGCCTTGAATGAGCAAATTTTGAAGGTCACCAAATGGTTGTAAGTGTCTTCTTCTAATCCTCTTAAGCAAAGCCAAGTTGAGTTAATAAGAAAACCAAGTTAAGATAGTTGTGAAGGTAGCTTTGTACAACTATAAATCTTTACTAATATTCTCATGATTTTTTTAATTTTTTATTCAAATTTACTCCATTATAATTGATATTTTTTAGTAGATTCTATATAAATATTATATCATTAATATTTTATTTTAATAAAAATTATATATATTTATATATTTATTGTTTTGAAATTACTTATTAATTCTTAATATGGATCCTCACATGGCCTAAATTACAAGCATTGGTTATAAAATAGATATGACTCCTTAGTTTTTAAAAATTTAGAAATGTATCAAAATAATTTTTAGAGCATAATCATTATTTAACAAAACTCAAAAACTAAACTTTATTTTTAATAAATTATATATTTTCTATTAATAAAAATAAAATAAAGATTTTACACTATTGTCTTTAATATTTTTTAATTGGTTGAATACTTAATTTCTTAAATGATTTTAATTCTTAATTAATGCATATTATGTTAAATCAACTTGTTTTATTAGCATCACGTATTTTTATTTATACATTTATTAAACCAATATATATATATATATATATATATATATATATATATAAAAAAATTATACATTTAATATAATTATAATGATTATATAGATTTATTACAATTTTTTTGTTATATTTATTTTTTGATGCTTTGATAATTGATGAGTCTTTTTGTTGAATATTTTAATATTTTTCTAATTATATGTTATTTTTTATTCTAATTTATTTCCATCTTTTTAAAATATTATTGTATATATTTCATATTTTTTTATATTCAATTTTTAATAAAAGTTATAACAAATAAAAAAAAAATTTAATATATGGATTTTGTAATCTTATTTTGTGATAAAAATCCTCTTATATTATTTAATCAACATCTTTTAAAACTATTAAAAATCTAACTACAACAACATTATAGATCTTTTAATTGAACCTATTATGATTTAGTAGAAAATTACCAATGAATTTTTAAATTTAATTTTTAATTTTTTTTTAAAATACACAATTTTAAGAGATTTTTAAAAATTTTAAATTTTTTTGAAAATTCTTAAAATTTTACTTAAAGCTTAAAAATCTTACTATATTATAAATATCTATTTAAAAATAAAAATTCTTTAGGTTTTTAAAATCATGTTTAGATAATTTAATATCTTAAAAATAAAATTTTAGTAAAATAAAAATAATCTAATATTAAGCATTAGATAACATATTATTTATTAAGGAATAATTGAAATTTTTTAAAATTTAAAATTTCACCTTGATGCAAATAAAAGGGTTTCATAATTAATATTTCAAATTTGCCTATTGATTGTCACTTTTGTATTAAATACATACAACCTTCTATTCAACCAATTTGAATGATCTCAAATCTAAACAACATTTTTTGTTTTGAGATACACAATTTACTTATTTATTTTCATTATTTTGGCATGAAAAATTATTGTTGTTGTTGTTGTTGTTGTTGTTTTTTTTTTTTTTTTTTTTTTTTTTCTCCTCTCTCTCTCTGGCTTGTTTACCCAATTTCATTGCGCTTTTTAATCGACATCCCCATTCAGCGTTTTGATGTTCCGATTCATTTCTAATCAAATGAATGGCATGGCAAAAGCAGTAACAGATCATACCCTCTGCATGGAACGTTCAATTCGACGCCGTTTTTGTGACGTTTTGTAAGTTATAAGGGAAAGAACATGCACTGTTTTTTGTATCATAATCCAACTGTATTTTGATGCTCACATATAAATCCCAGGATCTGTTGAAATGTGGGCTGGAGAAACTCCAGAAAAACATGCATTGAAAAACGAGCAAAACAATCAGTTCTACGGCAATTTTTGAGCATCCAAGAACATGCACTGGGGTTAGATCTGTATCCTGCAGTACTGATAATTGCCCACAACTGACTGGTGGTTTCTACAAGGCTGCAACATGCAAGGTCTTTGACAATCTCACTAAATATGATCAGTTAACCCTTTTGAATGATGACGGCGTTTTGAAGACCTGCCGCTTGGACTGTTTGGGCAGGATTGGTGAGCTTCACGGGAGGAAACCCCACTGTCTGCAACTGATAGACTCCGGAGCTTCCAAGCCGAGCAAGGTCAATGAACTCCCGAATGACAGCAACAGTATGGTCGATATTGAAGCGAGCCACCAGTCGGGTCCCATCCAAAAGTCTTAGCTGCAAGAGAATGCCCGCATGCCCCCCTTTAAAGATTTACATGAACGGAAACCAGCCGAATGGCTAAGAATGGTTAGTCTTCTCTTCTTAAAAAGCTTTAAATTTTGCATTCTCAATTTAAGGTTGTGAATTCTGGCGACATGAAGTGCAAGGTGAGAGAAAACTAGAGGGTGGTCGTATGCCTGCACGGAGGTTGCTGGCTTGGCCTCATCAACAATCAAACCGTGTGAAGGCAGTTGTGGATCGGCTGCATTTGTTGTGAGAGCATCATTTGCAGCGGCTTTAGAGGTTTCACGTGTGTGTCCAGGCTCCTTGAACAGAACGCTCGTGTTCGGGTGGTGCATGCAACAGGAAACATTGTCAAGAATTGGATCCCAAAAGTTTAAATTGCGAATAATATACCGCTGAGTATTGATGATGATTTTCATTATAATGATATACACAACCCCACTTAGTAGACACACGCTGTAGCTGTGAGTCAATATTATCTTAGAATTTTCATTGAAGGCGACCTTCACTTACCTGCCACTCTTCAGCTGATTTTTTCCCAAGGTTGCCTCGCACAGGAAAGCTTCCATTTCGAAAGTAGATGTCGCGAACGATGCGATCTGGAGGAGAGCCTCGGGCAACGGGTTGATGGGAAGGCCCCTGCAGTCGTCGACTCTTTCCTGGATGACCACAGGAAGGGCTCGTATAGGAACTCTTTCTTGCTGAAGCATCTGCCCGATGGGGCTCGGCAACTTCACCTTCTTGCTCTCCCTATTTGCGAATCCGTTCATAAATGACTTGCATGTCCCCATGATCATGTTTCTTGTTAGGATCTTGCACAACCATGCAACTGTGGCCTGTTTAGATGAAAACTTGGTGCTCAAATTCTCAACAGCTCACGACAGTTATGTGCATAGACAATCCTAAACACCTTCCGCGGCTGTAGGTATGGATTCTGATAGTGAGAGGCATCTGTGCAGCACGTTACCACTCGCTAATTCACAAACTGCGGCATCTCGATTTTGTAAGCGTTGTTTAAAAGTTCTTAAGAAAAAGATCAGAGTACCTCCTCTCGCTACCAGTATATCCTTGATCGTCAGAGCCAGTGACAGTACCACTCGATTTTCCCAATCCTTCACGAGCAGTAATGTCGTCTCGTGACGTAACGCCTCTCTTGTCATTTCCTTCTTCTTTGCCCCTTGGTCTGGTTTGGCCCTTCCTGAAAGACTCGATCGGTTGACGAGGGCTCCGAACTACTGCTGTAGTCAGGGCAGGGTTTACTGGATTCCATGTATTGGATAAGATGCTTCCCTGCAAGAGATTGTCTGGGGCAAGCATTTCAGGTTCGGGAATGCTCCAATTCTCATCTTCTGTCAAATCGTAGTCGGCGAAGTTAATGGAGGTTTCCCGACCTTGCTCCCCATGGTCTGACTCAAAGTAAAGCTGCAAGGCAGGCTCAAGCAGCCACTCAGTGCTTTCCAAAAAGAATTTTGCATGCTCTGGTGTGGATGTGGTCACTCCACAGAACTCCTCCACTAACTCATCTTCATTCTCCATCCCTCACAGCTCTACTGCAACTCCAGCGTCTTCCTCTGCGAAACGCGGATATAATCACGACCTAGATGTGCTGTGCAATGCCTAAATTCTGCTACTCTTGCTCAAAATCACCGCACATAAAAAAAGAAACAAAGCTAACTTAAGCACTGACCATGAGATATAAGTTATCGCAAACAAGAATAACGAAACCAGCTTCAAAGGACTAATTACGTGGGAGGGGGCATGGGGACCTGGAAGTAACAACAAACAGCGGCAGAGTCATCGCTATGGCCATGAAACGACACTGCCGAATCCACAACTGTCAGTTGGGATCTGGACCTATTTCTGGCCACTTACTATCAGCCCAGCAGGGCATATAAAAATAAAAATAAAAAAATAAACTGAGGCTTGATATCCCTGCATCCAATTCCTGACTCTAAAAGTGAGGTCACATGGATGCTTATTTCCATGCCTTGATGATTTTTGGGCCTCAATCCTGTTCGCACGCTGCCTCTTAGTGTCGCATCCTCAGCAGCTGAGAGAACCATGAGCAACTTTCAATCATCTGAGTGGCCACTGATTATTCCATTTCGGATGCAACTACTAAAGATGACCATTATATAGACTTTTTCAACATGATTCAAACTTTACCAATTGCAAGGAGATAACATTGAAGAATGAAAGCTCTCTGCATTTCTGATTCATGTTCAATAATTATTGTGTTTGGAAGTTGTTAAAGCCACACCTCCATTTTGTTAATGCCACACCCTCTTGCCAATTCATAATTAATTTAGTCTATCCTCATCTCTTGTTCTCACTATCCAACCCCCACATCTCTGTTCCTTCATCCTAGTCCTACAACCAAATCCCTTCTATCTATTCTATATCCCCCATCTCAAATCTCCCTATTGTCATAGAAGAGAGAGTTGCATCAAAAAAGCGCTAGACCTCTAATTACCACTAATTGTTCAAAAAAGTTGCAAAATTATAAAACACAAATATGATTTATAGCTTGTCTTTAATAAGATAATTACATCAAATACACAAGTTTAAGATGCACAAGAATACCTAAGATGTGACTAGTTATCCTAAAATCACTTCTACTTCTATGGAAATTCCTTCTATATATATATTAGACAATAACTTCCAATCTAATTGTCTAGTTGGGTTCAAAATTCTCCACAAGTTAACTTATATCTTAAATATCTCCATACAAAAATTCAACTATAAATTCATTATAAGCCTTTGGATATTGCCTAATTTCTAAGAGGTTCTAAATATATCAATTTTTAAGCATCCATGTATTAATTCCTTCATATTTCAAAAATTCAATGCTCAAATACCATGAATTTTTTATATAAAGCTTTTCAACATAATCATCTATGCTTATAGAAATTTTGAATCAAAAATTCGTCCAAAAACTCAAGATATGGCAAAAAACCAAAACCTCCATTAAAAACAACTTACTTACAAATCCTAGTTTTAAATACTAACTTCTAACAACTCTTTTTTCTTTATTCTAGATTAGAATATATTGATTTATTTACATAAAATTTAGTTTTTTAAATCAAATTTTGAATCTTACTTTTCAATTCTTCAAAGCTTTCTTACAACTCTCAATATGCTTAAATGAATAATAGTAGGTATCAAAATCACATCCTAACTTCAAAACATCATTTCTTTCTCATTACAACTCCAAATCACATATTTCTTTATTTCAAATTCTAGTTCAAAATACAAACATTTTGAATCCAACTTCTAAACTTCAAATGCATTTCTTTTTCTTGAATGTTCCGCCTAGCCTCAAATGGATCGCCCTAAAGTAGTTCTAAACTCTAGTATGGTCCTAGATAACATCTTGAAGCCCATTAGGCATGACTTTCAACCAATAGAAATGAAGTATTTTATCACTTATCTTATCTACCCACATAGAATGGCCTAGAAATCAAAATATTATACTTTTGACTCTAAAGCCCCTCTAAACTTCTTATTAATAAATCTTATATTTTCTAACTTAATTGCAAAACTTAAACTATAAACTTAAATTAATTAGAAAATTAATTTATTATATTTATTTTATTATATTTATATTTATATTATTTTATTTTTAGTTATGATCTGAAATTTCATAATATTTTATATTATTTTTACATATTATTCTACTTTCTAACATGACATCTTCTTCATTTCTAGTACTTATCTTTTATTTCTATTTCTATTTTATAAGAAAATGATATCAATATTAAAATTAGTTTATGTTTTTTACTTGAAAAACCAATCATAAATTCTAAAGCCTTCAAATATGGATTTTACATATAATGTCTAATTTAAAGGACTTTAATATTTTAAATTTTAGGTAAAAAATTCAGATTTCTTAGGTTCACAAAAGATAGTTAATAAATTCAATACTATTTAAATTAAAATAAGATGTATTATCTTTTAATTGCCATGCAATATCAGCAATATTTTAGTCTTAAAATAATTTTATATAAAAACATCTCTATTCAAGATTATTATTAGCTATCATAGTCATAATAGAGGACAATAGAAGAGAAGCACTAGGAATGGAGACCAAAAAGAGAAAGAGAAGGAGAGAAGGGGCTTTAAAATAGGAGTTAGGAACAAAGAAAGAGAAATATGGAATAAAGACAATGTGATGGACATACATGTTTATCTAGATAAGAAGTATTAGATAGAAAATAAATGTTAATAGATTTAATATTAGCTTATAGCAAAGCTTCTTAAAAGTTACATAGATATATATTTAATTTTATACATGTTTATAATTGATAGGTAGATTAGAAACTTTGTCAATAAATTAGCCATGTATTGCACATATAGATAGCTTGTGGTACAAGCTAATGATGTGGCATGCATATAAGAAATTTATCTTTTAAGTTAAGATATGTATCTTACAAATTGAACACATATTGGAGGTCCTATAAAAAAAATTGCCACATAGTATCCAGTTAGATAATATATTAGAAGCAAGAATAAAGTCTTCTATCTTATTAATATCTTTTTAATTCTTAGTATTATTTTAAGGCTTTCTAATCTTCTATTCTTTGACAATAGACATCCTAGATTAATATTATACCATCTTTGAGTGATTTTTTAGTGAGTTTGAATGATATAAGAATTTATTGATTTTTTAGTTCTTTGAAATTTATGTCCTTGACAGTTTGACAAGAGTGCTAACGTGATATTCTTATTTTATTTTAGAAGTGAGTAGATTATTCTATTTTTATTATTATCTTTTGAAGGTTGAACTTATTTTTAATTTTTTAAATATTGATTGATTTCCTTAAAGAGAGTAGACTATCATTTTTTATAAAAAATTTCATTTGATATAAGAGGTTGTAGATTACACTCCTCTAATTTGACTTGTAAATTTATTTAAGTCATCTATAAAAGAAAAATTTATAAATGCTAATAACAACAAAAATAAGAATAGATTTATAACTATTATAAATCTTTATAAGCTTGTCAATACTTTAAGGATCAAAATTTCACATATTTCTATTATAAACAATAGAGGTATTATTTCTAAGCATATAGAGGAAGTCAACAATGAAGTTTAGACTCTTTGCTAAAAATTTGTGCAATTGATAGACATAAGTAGATTAAGTTTATAATTAAATACAAAAAGCCTTGTTTCTACAAGTATGAGAGAGACAAGGATAATTATGCTCAAGAAGTTTGACATAATAAAATCAAAGTTTTGAAGATTTCTACAACAAGTAAAGTTCTTTCTAAGGTTATATCTTTTTCAATATCTTGACTAATTTACTCAAGTTGAATTTAAATATGCACTTTTATCTAGAGATATTCTTTTTTAATTTGTACCTTTGATAGAAAAGGATTCACATCTTTTTTATAACTTAAATTTATTCTTAGAAGTCTTTATGATGATATTTGGAGAAAGTAATAAAAAAATAGCAAAGATCAAATTCCTATTTTTACAATAAGTCTCAAGTTTAGCTACCATAAATGTTATAAAATTCTAAAACCTTGCTTGTGATATGGATTGAAATAAAAAAGCCTTTATTAATCAATTTCAATATAGATTAACAGACAATGTCAAAAATTTATTATTGGCAATGCCAAGAACAGATTCATTGGAGCAATTTATTACTTAAGATATTATATATAATAATTGACTCTTTGAAAGATGTCAATAAAAATTGTTTGGTTGAAGATGTACAAATCAAGTCATAGTGACAACTTTTAGGTTTATAGAAGTTTATTCATAAAGGCCAAAACCTATGTAATTTAACACAATATATTTTAAATATTTTACTAAGCAAAAAAAAACTTAACATTATCAAGAAGGATTGTGGTTATATAATGGAAAATCTAAATATGTTATTTAATATTATTCAAAAAAATAATATTATTAAAAAATGATGAGTATAGTTATTAAAAAAGATAATATGTCAAAAAATAAGTTTTTCCATCTACGATAGGAATTGTACAATTGAATTCTTATGTAACACCTAATAAAGATATTATTATTTCTTTGAATCTATCATCTTATTTTAAAATAGAAGTTTTTTTAAGACCTAAAAATCACAAAATCTTTGCTTAATTAAATTTAAGAATCTCAACTTGTTTTTATAGATAAAGCTTTTGTTAAAAAATAAAAAATATATTTAATTAAGAAAAATAAATTCTTGCATACATAAATCATAGATGGTTATTTTTTGTCCTCTAGAGATGTTATCCATAAAAAAGTTTCTTTAAATGCAATAGTTAAAGATTATAATAACTTAATCATACTTAATATGATTAAATCTCTTTTTAACCTAATTTTTTAAAGATTATTGTAGCTAAAAAAATACAATGCTCAAATAGACTAAATTTCTTATAATCTTAATATTTTTTTATAGTTTATCTTAAGATTTTTTTATTTAAATAGAAATTTATAAGTCCAATACATTGAAATCTTTATTGGTAGATACAAGAACTTTTATGCATGTTGCAAAAAAAAGATCAATTTTTTCTATATATGCTATATTTATTTTTGATAGAAAAAAGATTTTAAGTGGTATTTAAAGCTAATACTAAGATTATTAAGATATTTTAAAAAAATGTAAATATTTTTTTAAAGCATTGTCTCTATGTCTTTTCCATTGATCTTTAAGAAGGAGCTTAATTACTACTTGGATCAATTTATAGCATATCACAAAATAAATTGGCTGCATTTAAAGAGTATATTGACATGAATTTGGCTAAAACATTTATATTCTATTTTAAATCTCCAAAATGAGATCCTATC